GTTTCGACAAGGTTTTGTTATCATCAGGTACAAACGTTGTACATTTGCTGTTATGTTAAACTTGTATTAAAATTTTTCTTCATTACCCATTCAAGCCGTCTCCAGCCATTATTAGTCTCAAAGTGAGTTCCTCGTCACCGAAATTGTTCATTTGTCATGACTTGTACAGGATTAATAAAATAAACATCCGAAAGCATAAATTAGGATGTTTATATTTTTGTAACTGTAAAACAAAATTGATCTTACCTGGAAAAAATTCGTCTTTAATTTCCATCTTTTTAAGTCCTAGCTGTTGACTTTCGCTAAGTATTTACACATACGACGAAAGGTGCAGGATAAACGTTTACAGTTACGGAAGGCCTTTTCAACTTTCTAAGAGCGCGTGCGTATGCATACGAGGCGAAGTTCAAGGCGATATACCCAGCCGTGTTAGACGCGATCCATTTTTTTAAATAATCTAAACCAGGACTATGACAAGTGTTAAAATTACACTTTTCTCATAAATGAAAAAAACCTTTTAACTTTAAAGTTTTATAGGTTAAAATGATTTCACAGTAAATGGACACCCCCTTCGCTGCTCGGTTGCTTGTAAACCGCTGTTAAATAATATATATATATATATATATTTCAGTAATCGTTCAAAAATCACGTTTTTATAGTCACTTTGTACAAACAGAACATTTTTGTTAAGATTTTGTTGCTAACTAAATTCGAACCGTAATATTCGAAGGTCGCTAACATTGTCTTTTAACACTACAGTAACTTAAATTATTACAGGGGTTACACACATATACTAAAAATTGTTCCAGAGTTACTGGTTTCAAGTTTTAATCATAAATAATTTGCCAGCCACTGTGCTAGAGTGCCCAGACGGCCAGGTATATCGGTTTAGAAATCTGGTCATCCTACACTGTACGGGAATCGAGACTGAAATAAGCACAGCATGTGTGGGATGATTTTTTTTTTTTTGTTAACTAAAGCAGTTTTTACTCTGATGCTATATTTGAGAGATATTCTCAAATTTCACGATGCAAGATCCTACTTCATGCTGTTACTACATGTTCTTAAATACAGCTTGTGCTGTCACCTTGTAATTTTCTATATTTACTGCTCCATTTTTATTTTATATAAAAATGTTACTTCTGAACTGAAACTTTGTATAAACAATTTTCTGCTATTTTATGATTTTATGTACTGCGCTGCCACCCAGTTGTATACTTTCATACAAAACAGTATTAACTTCTTACATAGGCATTGTGCTGCCACCTTGTTGTGAACTTTCATACAAAATATTATCAACTTCTTACATAAGCATTGTGCTGTCACCTTGTTGTGAACTTTCATACAAAATAGTATCAACTTGTTATATAAGCATTGTGCTGCCACCTTGTTGTGAACTTTCATAAAAAATAGTATCAACTTGTTATATAAGCATTGTGCTGCCACCTTGTTGTGAACTTTCATACAAAATAGTGTCAACTTGAATACAAAATAGTGTCAATTTGTTATATAACATTGTGCTGCCACCTTTTTGTGAACTTGAATACAAAATAGTGTCAACTTCTTACATAAACAGTGCTGCCACCTTGTTGTGAACAATCATACAAAATATTATCAACTTGTTATATAACATTGTACTGCTACCTTGTTGTGAACTTTCATAAAAAACAGTATCAACTTGTTATATAAGCATTGTGCTGCCACCTGGTTGTAAACAATCATACAAAATATTATCAACTTGTTATATAACATTGTACTGCTACCTTGTTGTGAACTTTCATAAAAAATAGTATCAACTTGTGAGCTTCCATACAAAAGTGTCAATTTGTGATGTTATATAAAATCATGCTGCTACCATGCATACAGAATAGTGTTCCGAAATTTCTTTCAGTTTCACACATTAACTCAAGTTATATCTTTCACACATTACTTCTAGTTTCACTCACTCGTTATATTTTTTACAGTTTCACACAACTATTTCTCATGTTCTAAACTATCTTTCACACATTACTTCTAGTTTCACTCACTCGTTATATTTTTTAGTTTCACACAACTATTTCTCATGTTCTAAACTATCTTTCACACATTACTTCTAGTTTCACTCACTCGTTATATTTTTTACAGTTTCACACAACTATTTCTCATGTTCTAAACTATCTTTCACACACATTACTTCTAGTTTCACTCACTCGTTATATTTTTTACAGTTTCACACAACTATTTCTCATGTTCTAAACTATCTTTCACACACATTACTTCTAGTTTCACTCACTCGTTATATTTTTTACAGTTTCACACAACTATTTCTCATGTTCTAAACTATCGTTCACACATTACTCTAGTTTCACTCACTCGTTACATTTTTTACAGTTTCCCACAACTATTTCTCATGTTCTAAACTATCTTTCACACATTCATTTCCTAAAAACCCTGGGGGATATCTATATTCAACAGTTAGGGTTCTGTAGAAACTTGAAAGGTTTTAACTTTCAGTGTACCGATAACAGATACAAAAATGTTAACTAAACATGTAATAGGCTTAAACCACTCCAGAAAGTAAAGCGAGTAAATTAAAACTTTATTTTAGTCTCAGTAAATCACTCTGAACATTTTGTATACATACATAGATACATCTACACTGCAACGAATAACAAAAGGGAGAAAAACTGATCACCTTATTTAGTCATATATTATCAGTTCCGACGTTTCCCAGACCTGTGACTTTTACACCGAAAACGGCCCAAGCAATACAATGTCTGAATAAAGTTTGAGTAAGTAGCAACAACAAAATTAAAAGTTCAAAAAATCAAAATTAAAATGATCAAAGGCAGTCAATAGAATGATCAATGGTCATTAAAATGCCTTTAATGGAAAAGTCATCTCAAGCTGATAAATGTTACTTTAGCTCGGTACTTTTATTCAACACCAATAACATCGGCATGAACTAACAGCAGACACACCATGCTGGCAAAGCCTGCTAATGAAAAAAAGGGTTAATTAGTAAGTGATAACGTACGTTTGATGAGAACACGATTCTAGCAACTGGGAATTTCTATCACCACATCAAGGAGTAACTTAAATACGTCTTTGATAAATAACCAGTATTTTGTAATTCACAAAACCTCAGAATATACAGTAACTATTTAACAGATGCAAAATATATAGAGCTTATAGTTTTAATTAGTAGTTGGAATTCCAGATTGCTTAAACACACGCCGTTTCCTTAAATATACATAAAACCAAAGCATCAGAAGCTATTATTAACATTACTCCATTTTCAGGTCTGCAAATTTTGTTAGTTTTTAACTTGCAATGAAATCTGTACCTATTTTAAAACAGCAACTGTACTTTAATTAAAATTTTTCACCACATTAAAATATTAAAACAACAAACTGTTTAGGAGAGAGGTTGGTCTATTGTGTTCTAAGTTACTTTACCATAAAAATCCTTAAAAAATAAATCTACTTACAACTAACAAATTTTATAATAATTCCTAGATATTACATATTAGTTTTCTAAAGCTGTATCCTAAGTTAATTTCAAGACTAAACTTTCCATTTGTAACCACACAAACCAGGAAAAATAAATCATGTTTTATACGACATTTTCAAGTATTTAAGGATATTCAAATTAACAAGACATTAATGTTATGAAACAAAACAACAACCAGAAATTTTAGTAGAATCAGTTCCAGTGTTTGATGTAATTTTCAAATATTTGTTATTAATACTGATTACACATTAAGACAGCTTTGTTACTGCTAAAAAAGAACCAACACTTTAATCACATCCTACAACACAAATTGACTTTTAATATAATTAAATAAGCCAAAATATTTTTAGTCTAAAAATTTAAAAATCTGTTACAAAAGAAATCAGATTTCCTTTATATTATTCAACAGTAGTTGTTTTTTTTTAATAATGTACTGAGCAATTTTTTAGTGTTTGAGTTACAAGAAAGCAACAAGTCTACCAGATGTTGTCAAAGGTTACTAGAAATGGGTTTAATGAATCGTTTCCAGGCTGTAACAAAGGTGTAGGCAAGGTTTATTTGACTGTGCGAAGTGAGGGAACCACAGATGCACCCATTATGGCCGGGGTCCACATCTCGCTTAATGGCCCTGGAAGCTCTTCGGTTCTGGATTAAATTTTATGCGTTTTCCTACTTTCCTGAGAGTATCTTCCTAATTTTGATGCATGTTTACTGGGACTGTGTAATTATGAACAATACAGACAGAATACAAATCTACCAATAAAAACAAAGAAGAGAAACAAGAAGTTAAGAAAAATTAAGGTTGTAGCAACAAAAATGTCATGTAAAATCAATCATTTTTATAAAATTTTCTGATAAATATACATTTCCATCCACTGAAATCTACACAATTTCATTAACGAGTGATTACACAAACCTGAGATCAAGTCATTGGTAAGAAAGGGTTGTCCAGGGTGATGCAGACAACACGAACCAGGTCATGTCAGAGCTCGCACAGAATGAATATACACGACTACAAGTTACATCTACAGCATGATTTCTTTTTAAAATAGTTTATGTTTTTATTATTACATCCTGTAAACTTCTGTAATCTAGATATATATTTCTTAACATTATAATCATTATACACCTTCTATAACAATGTTACAACTGATCTGAACCTCCTTTTGTTACAAAAAATAAATCACTTAAATTAAAACGCTTGTCTGGAATATTAATATATAATCACACAAATAATAAATACAATGGATGTCCATACACTAACAAAGTAAACTTAGTTTAAGTGCAAAGCTACACAATGGGAACTGAGCCCCAAATTTAAAAACTATAAAACCTGAAGCTTACTGCTGGAAACTTTGAAGCCTGTCACATGTTACAGATTGTTGTTCCTGGCAGGAAATGGATTAAATCTTTATTATATATATTTACTGTTTACAAGTTAAGTCATAAAACTGTAATATTGCTTTTGCTGTTTTATTTCTATCACTGCAATGGAATTCTTGTATTATTGCTTAAAACTTTCACTTATGCATTACTTGTCTGAAAAGAAAATCAGACTTTAAAAAAGTTTAAAATGTGTAGTTCGACACAGATAATAAAAACAGTAGCTGACAGTTTTAACTGGGCAATCTCAGGGTACAAAAAACAACAACAACAAGAATAATGGTGTTAAAATAGCAGCAACAAGGGAAGCTTGGTAACTCTGGAGCTAACAACCCCCGACATCTGGACAACCCTTCCTCTCTTTCTACCGAACACTTGTGTAAGTAAAGGTGGTGACTACAACAATTAGGCATTTTACACCAGACACCACCACATCAGGCTTAGTGTCATCGATATGTAACATAAATACATAGAAGATTGCCAGTCTGGTCAACTAAAACTGGTTCTGTACACTGGAAGCTTGGTT